AATGCTTAAATGATGCCTCAGAGAGAGATGTATTGAAAAATCTGTAAATCTAAATTTGCGGATTACTTTCAAAGGGGACATCGTTTATTTTTAATTTTTTTTTTTACTCTGGGGAGCTAGTGGAAATTTTCTGATTTTAATCAAGCCGTTGCTAATACACGAGAAGAGCTAAGCTACAAGTATAAATTGTGATGCTCCTTTGACCGCTGCCTTCACATGCTGCCCACTTACTCATCTCCCCTGAGATTAATGCCCCACTTCTCCAGCCTGTGACTCATTTCAGGGAACAGCAATATTAAACTCATCCCACCCCAAAAATCTGTCCTTCCTCCCACAGGCTGGGTTTGTCTTCTTCCTCCTTTCTCTGCTGCCCAAAGGCTCTGCTGGGGAACATTTAGTGGTGCAGAAGATGTGCTGAAAGTGTGATGTTCCCTGTGTCTTCAGCGTTGAAAAGGAAACTCTCCCACTGAAATTTATTTGCTTCCCAGTTCGATCCAAGGCTTCTTTAACCATAACAGGGTCCTGCCATGGGGAACCTTAACACGTGCAGAGCCCTAGCAGGGGGGTTGTGCCAATCCCCGTGGTTTTTGGCTGTGCTGAAGCAATCTGTTTGGTTTCCCAGCAGCAATCCGAGTGATGGAGGTGCGTGTGTCGGTACAGCACTCAGAGGCTTGGTGCGGTGTTCAGCTCACCCCATACGATCCCGGCACAGCAGGCGAGCCCCCGCCGAGGAGAGGGACAAGAAACTGTAAGCAGGGGACTTGCCCCCAGGAGGTTAGATCTGGGGATGTTCCACAGATACAACCTCCAGTCTCTTCTGCGTCCTTTGCTGCGACCCAGAAGAAAGCAGCACTTGGGTAGACTTGGAGAGGTGATGTAGATGTCACCAGTGGGGATCTAAGGGGGTTTGAGAGGATCACAAGAGAGGTGCTGAGGGCAGGGGGAGCCTGTGGCCACACAGAGCTGCAAGGAGAGGAGAAGAAGAGCACAAAGGTCTTGGCAAAATGGCCAAAACCAGCACGGTGTGGCTGGGAGCTGCCCGGCATCGCCTGCCTGTGGAAGGCTACGAAAGCGCCGGGACTCAGCGGTGCTGGTGCTTCAAAAGCAGAGCCCCGGGGCACTGAGGGATCCCCTCGAAACAGGGGTGGATGGATGCGGCCAGACAGGCTGTGTGGCCCTGGGAGCCAGGTCAGCCCATTTGTTCCTGAGCCAAACCAGCGACTGGGGAAACGTGAAATAAAACCGCCCCTCTCTGAACAGACCCGGCAAAGCGCCGGGGAGGGGAGGCAGGCAGGAGCCGGCTGGAGGGGCCGGGGGTCCTGGCTGGGCCCTGGGGAGGTGTCCGTGCTCCCAGACCGTCGGCTCAGGTCAGTCAGCACGCAAAAGCCTTTCTCCCTCAGCCCCGAGGTCCTGCCGGCGTTTGCTGATTTCCCGGTTGGTTCCCCAGGTCTCTCGGGGGGGGTCTGGTAGGTGGTTGCCACGTGTGAACCGAACCCAGGGCGCATCGGTCCGCGCTGGCTGAGGCAGGGGAGGCTCAGGGCACCCCTGGATTTGCCAAGCTGTTAAGCGGTGATAAATTCTGGGATGTCTGCAATGAATTGCCACATGTCATTGGAAAATAACTGGAAGGCTGATGGGATTGTTTTCTCCCCCAGTGGAGATTCAGCACACATGCACGCTGGACTGCCTTCCCGTGAAGTTTCACCCTTGCTTCTCACTGGGGAGGTTCTCCTCAGCAGCGCCCCAACGTGTGCCCCCCATCTTCGGGGACGCCGATGGCAGGGCCAGGTCTGTCCCAACATCATCCCTCTGCGATGGCTCATGGGGTGCTTGGCACCCTCCTCTTTCAGCATCGCCTCCCACCGCCACAGAGCGGGCTGTCCCCTACCAGGGGAAGGGATTCAGCGTGCTGGTCCTAACCGGTGCAGATGTCACCCAGGATCCTTCCTTTCTCTCTGCAGCGTTCCCGCTCCAGAGGTTTTCCAGGAGTTAAATGGCAGTTGCTAGAAGCCAACCCCAGCTGCAGCACGGCGAGCTGGCAGCACCTGGAAGTATTTCATCACACGGAGCGAGGGAGCAATGCAGTGCCAACGGGCAGTTATTTACCACAGCCACCCCTCCGTCATTTCTCGGTGTCCTAAGGGCTGAGTGGCTCAGGGGGGCAAGGACAGCATTTTGCATCTTCCTTCCCAGTTAGGAGAGCTGTAAAAGCCCCCCTTTCATGGTCCCATCCCCGCTGATGAACTCCAGCAGCTCCGACCACGGCTCCCACGGTGCAGCTCAGCAAACGGGACCTGAGTTATTTGCAAGATCCTCCTGTTTTCAGACAATTCCTCCTTGCTTCGGGCAGCAGGCCGCTCATTCAGCATGATCTAAACCTGCCCAACCTCTGCTAACCTCTGCAGTGCAATCTGCTTCGTAGAGATATCTAAATAAGTAAAACTTGACATGCTAATGAGTGCCTGCATGCAGCCAGGCGTTAGAGAGGGGCTGCAGGAATAGCTTCCTCATTAAAGAGAAGCGCGCAGGCTATTTTATTTTCAAGCCTCATTCCACCCATCGCGGCTTATGGCTGATGATTTTGGGGAAATCTGTTGAAAAGTTTTTGGATGTGTCAAGTGGGAGGCCAAAATTTAATGTATAGCTGAGTCTAGTGCAGATTTCTTCTCGCTGCCATGGTAACCAAACTAACTAAAAATAAAAAGTATTCCCATAAATGTCAAAACACACCATGCTTCCGTGACGTATGGAGTATCTGACCTGAAATCTGTAGTCATTATGTAACAACGTTTAACATTACAATAATTACATGGGAAAACTGTCTCCAGGTTAGACGGTTTGCATAACTTTGGTAGTCAATCTGCCTCCCTGTGTTCTTTGACATTTATGTTGTTAACATGATAATTAGATGCTTGGCATAGCTGTTTAACATCTGCTATGGTGTGTTACACACAAAGGGAGACACTGGACTCATGAAACCGGTGCCGTTGTCCATCTTCTCTAAATAACCGCTAAATAAACCACTATCCAGGGCTTGGAAAAATCTGGATTTTTGGAAAATCTGGCTGTGCACCTGCAACACCGCGTGGACTTGGCCAGGCAGCCTGCGGGGAAGACGCCGTGGGCATGCAAGGTGTGTCTGAGCTGCTCTCTCCCAGATGCGCAGATATCCCGCCAGCTCGCAGCCCCCAGGAGGAGGCACCCCTGTCTGCTGCCTCCGTCCAAGGACTCGATTCATCTCTTCCTACATCAGACATCTGAAACAAGGCAGGAGCTTGGCAGGCGAGCCTGGGGAGACTTGCTCAAGTGTAGATGTCTTCGTGGTGGACATCTAATGCTAGGTGGGATGAGACAGATGGGCTCATACCCACGTGCTGAGTTTTTCTGTTGCTCTAAGTGGCCTTCAGATGAAGCGCAGGACTCCAGGACACTCACCCCGCTTCAGAGACTTCCCGAAAGGCTGGGGTTGTCGCCACCGAGGTCAGGAGAAGGTGCCACCGTGCCTCGCCGTGGGTGTGCTGACGGCTCGTGCTGCCGTGTGTTTTCCCTTCCAGGACACCTGAGGTGGGGTCTCACCAGAAGGAAGACAAGAGTGAAGAGGCAGCGCTCTCCCCGGGGCCGTCCCGCCTCAGATCCCAAGACCTGCCGGCCAGATGCCAAACCCTGGCAGACGGAAGCTGACCTGACCTGAAGCCACGGTGATGGCCAGGCCGAGGCAGAGGCAACGATGGGCTCAAACACCCCACCTCGCAGTGGTGTGGCGGCACCTCCCCCGGCATTGCTGCTGTCCTGGTGCTGTGTCTGTGCCATCGGGGCAGGCAGGAGAGCTTGCTCGGGAAGACCGGCCACCTTCAGGGGAGGCTCGCGTGGGCTTGGGAGGCCCGTGTTCCTCTCACAGCCGTTGCCTTTTCAGCAGCCATCTGGGCTTGCTCACCGAGCCGACCGGTCCTAAGCTGAAGGCTGTGGGGAGCACGGCAGCAGGTAGACCCTTCGCTCCTCCCACAGCTGCTGCTTTGGTGGTGGCTGTGGCGGTGGCTGAGCTCCAGCCCTGGATGGGGTTGGTGGTATTGATCCCACGCTCACCCTCCACGGAGGAATCGCTGCTTCCAGCTCCTTGGCAAGTCTCCCTCTCCTCCCGCCACGGATAGCGCGGTGTGGGTGTTCCCACGAGCCTGTTGCCATGCAGTGACACACTCAGATGAATCGAGGAGGTGGTGGAAGCGCTGAGGAGATGTGAGGGAAGCAAACCAGGCATGTTCCCAGCCCTGACAGCCTGCTCCTCCTGAAAACTCACCTCTGGCTGGCAAAGTCACATTTTAAATCTCAATAAAAAGGCAACGTGGTGGGAGGACATCGAGAGAAACCAGCATCTCCCCCCAGGAGGTGGCTGGGCTCAGGGAAAATGCTGGGCTGCCACTCACCTGGAGCAATGTGTCCACGGGTGTCCAGTGTTGCTCTACCTCCCACTATTCTGCTACCAAGGTTAACTTCAAGAAAATCAGAACACTCTTGTTTGGGGTGCTACTTCAATCACTCAGACATTCCCCATGCATTTAGGGGATCCAGCACCCAGGCATCCAGCCCAGCCTCATGGCTGGAAGAAGATGTGCAATCCCATCTGGTTCAGACACGGTGAGAGCAGGTGCCGGCACAGACAAACAGATGATCTATGCAGGAGAGGATGTGGAAAGAAAAGATCTCATGGGACATGTTATTGGATACACCATCTCCCTGGAAGCTGAACTGTCCTCGCCGCAGCTTCTCTGTGACGGGCTGACACTTCTCTCCTGGGGGGTCCTTGCTGTCCTGGCAGTGGAGCAGGATTTTACGGAACAAGAGACGTGTAAACACCTTGCCTGGGGCATTGCTGCGGGCAGACAGACCTCAGGGCCTTGTGATCGTAGCCAAGAGCTGGCAAGGGGATGTCACCTGCCGCCCCCCTGAGATAAGGACCAAGCCCTTTTGAAGCAAAAGCCTTTTTCCTCTTTTTTCCCTGATTATTTCTAACGGCCATATGGCACCAGAGTGGATGCAGCCTGGGTGGGAAATGGTTTATAGACCCTTACAACATTCCTGTCCTGTCCCCAGGAGCAGGACCAAGGCCACCACAGGCAGAACTGAAGCTTGCTGTAGGAACACTTCTTTGGCACGTCCCCACCCAGCTCTGCAACCCATCATCCAGTGCATGGGCTGCCCGGGCAGGCGCGGAGACGTTGCAGACTGGATGTTTGGAGAGGACGGCGGTGGAAGTGGTGAGGGGGATAGTCCTGAGCTGGTGTAGATGTGGGGCTCAGTCTGCTTCTGCCGTGCGGGAGCTAAGAGGCGACCCTCCAGCCTGAACTCCAAAGGAGTTTGTGGGGAAGGAGATGTCGGGGCCACGGGAAGAGGAAGGGGTGGACACCAGGACATCGGCGCTCCATGTCTGCTCCACAGTAAGTGACTTCAGGTTCACAAACGGCCAAGAAGATACGCGTGTAACTACCCGTGGGTTCAACGGCAGCTGGGTAAGACTGGCTGAAAGGAGAGCACCGACCAGCCAGGGCCCGGTTCCTGGCATGGCTGAATTGTTGAGGACCTGCCGGACATTCTTCTTAGCTCTTCTCTGCAACTCATGCTTCCCCCCCTGCTTTTGGCTTTGGTTTTCAGCAGAGAAACATCAAAGGCGCTTTCCAGGAAAGCAAAAAGGGCATCATTTGTACGGAGCCTTCAGCCACCCACTCGCTGCAACCATGCAATTTGGAAGGGCCGCTAAAACGCCGGCAAAATGAAAGGTTTGGGGATTTGTTGTTTGTGCCTTAGTGCGGAGCAGTTGGGAGCAGAGGGGTGTGGAGAACAGGGCTGGAAAAAAAATCAACCTGCAAAAGAAAAGGGAGAGAATTAAAATGAGTCGGTCTAGTATTTCTGGACTTTGGAAAATCCCAGGTGAGGAGCAAATCCACTTTGATGGGCTCTTGCAACCGCTGGATGTCCCAAAGCTGGTGGCGAGTGCCGCCTGCCTGATCCCCAGGAGGCACAAGGCAGAGGCGATCGGGACAGGACAAGGAAACACTGAACCATTTTTCTATGCGAAAAAGGGAATTTCCCTGAGTGTATGGGCCGTGGCAGCACCTCTACCCGACCCCGGCGTCCTGTAGGGCTCTAAGGTTTGTTTTTTTTTTTTTTTCCCCTGAGGAGAGTGATGTACTGGTAACACCGCTCCCGGCTCCCTCCTCCCGTGACTGCTCTGCATCCACCCGCCACCCATCCCCTCTCCTCTGCGTGCCCGGGGTGCTGGCGGGCGACTCGGTGGCACCGGGTGCTGCCGCTGTCACCTAACCGCGCTGCTCAGCTTTCGGGTGCCCAGGGGGACCCGGCATGACCCACCGCACCCGGGAGCTTCCACCAGCTCCGAGACACTGTTGCCTTTTTATTTTTTTTTTTTTGGAGATCCCTTCTCCCATACCTATGACTTGCTTTTTCCCCTCCTTTTTTTTTTTTTTTTTTTTGGAATTTTTAAATTTTTTCTTTCCCTGCTGCTATGGCAACCTGGATAAATTCTGGTCACGGCTTTGGCCTCCCCGGCTGCAGATGGCCACAGAAACTTCCATCAACAAGTGACACACCTCCCCGGGGACCGGCCGAGCTGGGGATGTCCCCTGCGGGCAGGGACCTCACTGCATCCCCAGCAAAGAGCAGAGCTCGCCCACCCGGGACGTGCTCCCTCCTCCCTCTGCCCGTGGCTCCCCCAGGACCGGGTGCTGGAAGCCTTTCAGGGCTCTATTTTGGGCAGCGGCCGCCCAGGACGGCCCCTCTGCTTTCACTCCTGGGCTGTGCGCGGTGATTCCATTTTCCAACCCTCCACTTGGGGTTTAAAAAATAGAGCTGGTTAACAGGGTTTGATCCTGCTCTCCCTCCCCTCCGTACCCACAGCTGTTGCCCCAAGCTCCTGTGGCTCCTTCTCCCCGAATCCACTCAGCTCCCTGCCAAGACCAAACCGTCCCCCCCCAGGGGAGGCCCCGGGCAGCGTTTTGAGGGACACTTTAATGTCGCAGGGATGGCAATCCTGCCTCCAGCTCCCTGTTGCACCCCATGGGAAGGGCGGGGGGTGGGTGCTGCTCCACGAGAGTCGCTGGTGGCCCCCGGTGCGACGTGGCAGAGGCAGACGGAGAAGGAAAAGCTGTGAATCCGCAGGGTGCTCCCCTCCGAGCTCTGTGGTGACTTCCTTCCTCCTTCCCTCCCTCCCTCCTCATCATCACCAGCAGCTCCTTCCAGCTCCCCTGGAAGGCAACCCATGGCCCTTCCTGCTCAGCCTGTTGGGTACCAAAACTGCCGGGCAGCTTTAGCCGCGGATGGGGAGGAGATGTGCCCACCCTTCCCGGCCTGTGTTCCTGAATCCGGAGCGTCCACGAGTTCCCTCAACGTTTGGATCCCCAAGGCTGCGGGTGTTGAGCGCTGCCCTGCCTGGGCGGCACGGTGGGTCTCCTCTGCCTAAACCCAAGGAGAGGGAACGTGTTTGGGTGACCCTGGGGGGGGGGCGTTGGGGCTCCCCAGGGCGGCTCAGTCGGCATGCTTGCCCTGAAGCCTTTGCCACGAAGCTGAACTACAGCAGCAGGGACCAGGCTCCCATTCACCCCAAGACGGGTGCTCCATGGGTGTCTTCAGTGGAGGACTGCTGAGATCGGGGGGCAGAGGGGAAAATCCCCGCTCCAGCAAGAGCGTCGTGCCGAGGAGCAGCCCCAGGCTCCTTAGGACCCGGCTTGCGGGCAGCCCCAGGTGGACTCAAGGTGTGCAGGGAGACCATCGCTTCCAGGAGACCTTCCCGGACACCACCCGTGCTCAGCACAAGCAGGTGCCTTTGCTGTGAATTCAGCTGGCCTCCAGAGTTCCTCTTCCACGGACTTCCCCACCATTCCCTCCAGCCTTCCGAAGTGTTTTGTAGCCAGACGCTGCGTGAAGTCGGGGGTATTTCAGAGCGTCCTCGCTGGGCTTGAGAGGTCCCCCCTGCTCAGAGCAGCAGGCCAGCGGTGCTCCAGATGTGGTCAGGAATGAAGAAAAGCCCGGCCTGGACCCCAGTTCTCCTCAGCACAGAGCCCACAGGCTGGAGGTGGGGGCTCCCAAATCTCCTGGGACATTCAAGAAAAGGTCCTCGTGAACTTTGCAACATTTTACTTTCGCTGACAGTTTTTACTACTGAATTCTCACTAACCTGGTATTTTATTTAACATCTCAGCTTTTCTTTCTTCCTCAAAAGTGACCTGGTCTGACTGAACTTTTCCAAAGAGATAACTAAGAGACCTGGCATGGGAAATGTCAGCTTTGGGTGCCCGGAGTTTGGGGCAGTGCCATAAGGAGCTGATAAAGGTCTCTCAGTGGGGGGAAGTGGGCAGAGATTGCGATGGGGGATGATGTTGGCTCCCCCCAGAAAAAAAATTCTGCTCCTCAGTTCTTCTTGGGACCAGATTTAATATTTTCTGTCGACGTACATGATTTTCAGTGCGCAAACAGACCTTCAGACTGAAGTTTATTTGCATTTTAATAAACCATCTCTGATGGAGAACACCCTTCTCTATTCATCGCCCATGGTAAAAAGAGTGAATCGAAAATGATGCAGGAACTTCACGCATCTGAAAGGAAATTGCAGGCTCTGACTTAACTTCACTGAGAAATCTGAAGATCAGAACGATCCCATCTGCAACGGACATCAAAAACGAGCAGCATTGGCTTATGGCGAGACCGCCCGTGGGAACGGCTTCCGTGAAGGTGCTCTTGAGTGAAAGGTGCGTGTATTTAAGAACTTAAGAGTGACCATACGTGCTGGACCCTGGGCTGGAAGCTCCTCCCGCCGTGCTCAAGCGCAAACACGTGGTGACCCTTCTCCAAGCGACCTCCTCTGGTGATCCAAGGACTTGGATCTGGATTGAGACGTTTTCCTGAAGACACCCCCCCCCGGAGGCTGTGGGCTCGGCTGGGCTGCGCCGAGGGCCGGGGAAGGAACGGGATGGAGCAGAAAGGCCCGGCGGGGCGTCGGGGAGCGCAGGGGGGGGGTGGGAGACCTCCCCTCGCGCTGCGAGGCTCGGCGCAAACCGCTTCCATCGGAGGACGAGGCCCGGGAAGGACGCGCAGCCGAAGGCGGGAGAAGTGTCTTCCCGGCTCCCCCTCTCTCATAATCCTCTTTGGCAGATGCTGCGGCTGCATCTGTGCCCCGGGGGCGGAGGTTTGCCGGAGGAGGAGCAGGAGGTGGGCAGACAAAATTACGGAGGCAAAGGCAGTCAGAGAATAGGATCCGAGCCTCTGAGATCTTCATTGTCTTCTCTGCTATTGAGCTCGGGAAAATTTAGCACCACCCGAGCGGAGCTAAAGCCATCTCTGCCATTTGCAGTTGGAAACAGGCTCCCCAAGCTCCCTATTTATAGCTGTTTAGCAGCTGCTTTGCTGAACCTTCGCACCAACGTGGGGTGATGGGCACGCTGGGGAGTCTTGGCTGTGGTTTCCCAAGCTGATCCGAAAAGATTTAAATATCTCCGAGTGGTACTGATGGAAAAGGTCTGTATTGGTCCCGGGCTGGCTTGGAAGGATCCAGCCTGGCCACGCAGCCCCACAGGCAATGCCAGGCTGGCTTTGCAACCCCTGAAACACTGGCCGTGTCACCTCCAGGGAGAGGAGCTGGGTGGCAGGGACGTCCCCCTGCCACACTCTGGGTCTCACCCCCCCGTGAGGGGGAACCCACCTCTGCCCTCGCCAGCCCCCTCCTGGGGCGTGAAATATCCCAAACGCAGAAGCGTGAGGAACACGAGGCGTGAGGAAAATGCACATCATTACGGCCAGGAGGAAAATATCGGTGGGGAGAGGAGGGGCGGGAACGAATCACTTAGGGCAGATGTCCCCACGTCTAAGCTAAGGGGAGTCTCGCCGCTCACCGCAACGTTTATAACGGAGCGAAAATGGAAAAGTGGCAAAGAGAGGAACTACTTGAGACGAATCCCAAAAAGCCTCAAAACTCCAAGCGTCCCCGAGGAGGGATCAGAGCAGCCTCCGCCACGCAGACGCAACCCCGCCGCCCCCCCGCCCGCCGTGCCCGTCCCCCGGTCCGGCTTGCCCCAGGGACACGGCAGCCCCTTAAACCGCGAGCGCCCGGCCGAGGTTCCCCTGCCGGCCCTTCGGTGGGGACGGGGCGCTGCGGCGGGCGGCCAGGCTGGGCCGTCCGGCTGCAGGGTGCTCTGTGCCACCCCGACCTGGTGCTTCACATAAGGCGTTTGACTCTTGGGAAAAAGCCGGGGAGGCTTTTCCCGTTGCCCTCATTCAGTCTGTATTTTGAAAATATTTTCCGGGGTCTGGCGAGGCTCTGTGGGAAGCCAAGCTCTGCATCAAATGGCTCCGAGCACCCTTATGCTGGCTTTCAAAACAGGCCATTAAAATTCAATTTTTAGAGTGGTTCTTTAGCCTTGAGTAGCCCTCGTGAGGATCTTCTCTCCTGGTGCTCATTGCAGCTGTGGTTCTGCCTTTGTGCAGGAAGAAAGCTGCTTGAGGACTGCATACAATTCATTAATTCCCAATTAATGGCTGTAATTATCTACCCTTACATAAATAACCAGCTGTAGCATGACACAACATTACAGTGTCTGTACAAGGTGCCCTGACTCACAGAGCAGTAGCAGGAAATAATATATGCTAAAGAAAAATCTTTATCCAAGTAAGGAATAAATAAGACATTTGCCTTTTAGAAAGAGGATGACTCTAGAGGTAAGAAAACTCTTCCACACGACGGTTTCCAAGCATCACTGACTCATTATATTTATAGGACAAATTACTTTTCATGGCAAAATTTCAAGGAGCCATAAGAAGCTTTAATCTGTAGGCAAAGAATTATAGCAGAGACCTCACTGGTGTTGGTCTTAATTCCTACACATCGCTCTTTCCATCCCCCTTTGCGCTTCCCCAGGCTGCCGGCCTGAGCCAGCCTCCAGGGCGGCGCAGCTGATCGCTTCCCAAAAATGCCTTTAAAAGTTTATGGCAAAGTATTCCTGGCAAGGAAAGGTACCCGGGAGAAGGTGCTGCCTCCAGAGACGCTCTGGAAGGGCAGCAGGGAAAGCTAGAGCCAGGCAGAATCGCGAGGTGGCCCTTGGGAGCCTGGTCAATATGCCCGAGGATTTTCTAAGCGAAGGGAGGAGCGGTGACTCCTCCTCGATGGCGCTGGAGGATGGCTCCTGCCCAGCTCCCCTCCAAAACGGTCCTCGCACAGAGAAACGACTCAACTTCCAAAGGTTTCAAGCACTAGAAAGGTGCTTCCTTCCTCTAACACACGGCAGCGAGGGCGTGTGACGCTCCTGGTCCCCCCCCAAACTCTTGCCAGGCTCCCCACATCCCCCCCCTCACGGCGTGGGGTGTGTGTGTGGGGGGTGTGGGGGGGGGCCGCAGGGGCAGCGGGGGGACACGCCAGGGGGGCCGGGCGGGGAGGGGGGGGACGTCACCGTGTCGGTCAGCCGAGATCTGTGCGGGCAGGCTGCCCTTGCGTAAGCCGGCCGGGTACCCGAAGATGCGCTCGCGAACTGCAACAGATAAAAATATCCAGGGAATACGTGTGGCTCTGACTAAAGCACTGCTAAAATAACAGAGTGCGCAAATCCCTTCTCAGAGGCGCCTTCCGAGCCTCCCGCCTGTCACCCCTCTCACCACGGACGCGCTACCTGCAACCGGGCGGGCGCTTTTCTTACCGGGATGGTGCTTTGCGTTCACTGGAGTGGGCGTAAAGAGTGAGGTTAACATGTCGCTTTGCTTGAGCTTTTTTGTAAAAGCTTTTTTTTTTGTTGTTGTTTCTTTTTTTTTTTTTTTTTTTCCCAGAAGCTCCTTGGCTTGGGGCAAATTGTGGATGTGCGATTTCCCCATGTGCTGGTTACGGTCCCCTGCCTCTGGTGCAGAGCTGCAATTAAAAAATAAAAAAATTTACACTGCAAAATTTTGCCTTGTAGGATGTTAAAATAAAATCCCAGTTTTTGGATGCCTTTTGGTTTGAAATCCAATCCTCCAGGCCCCGCTGCTGCGTGATCTGGCCATTAAACAAATTCTGCCATCCCTGCGCATCACATCACAGACTGATTTGGGTCGGGAGGGACCTCAAAGCCCCCCCAGTCCCACCCCCTGCCCCGGGCAGGGCCCCCTTCCCCCAGCCCAGGGGGCTCCCAGCCCCGTCCAACCTGGCCTTGAACCCTTCCAGGGAGGGGGCACCCACAGCTGCTCTGGGCACCCTGGGCCAGCGCCTCACCCCCCGCACAGGGAACAATTTCTGCCTTAGATCTCACCTAAATCTGCCCTCTGTCAGCTTAAAACCATCACCCCTCCTTCCATCCCCACCCCCTGACCCAGAGTCCCTCCCCACCTTTCCTGTCCCCCCTTTAAGCCCTGGGAGGCCGCTCGAAGGGCTCCCCGGAGCCTTCTCTTCTCCAGGCTGAACCCCCCCAACTCTCTCAGCCCGGCCCCCCAGGGGAGCTGCTCCAGCCCCCCCAGCATCTCCGTGGCCTCCTCTGAAGCCCACCAGATGGGATGAACAACCCAAACTCTAAAGAGTAGATCTTCCCACCACCTGCACACGCTCTGCACCACTTCTCACTAACCTGCCTTGCCAGCAGTTGAGGCACCAGGTTTTCTGCCAACCGCTATTAGCACCTGGAAGGCAGAGTCCCCCCCAGGGAGGGCGGTGGGACCCGGCTGTGCCCCCTGATTACAGCTGCACACAGGACGAGGCTGGGAAGGAATCAGGAGGGGGGCTGGGAGATGCCAACATGCCTTTTGCTGGTGCTGAGCTCCAGTTGATCGGGGGGGGGGGGAGCTGGGGGCTGCTGGGTGTCCCGGGATCTGCAGGCTCCACACCTTCCCTCCCAGCGTCTTTGCTTTCACTCTCAGGAGGAGACAGCAGCACAGGGGGTGAGGCCGGGCACGGGGCTGCGGGCATCTGCTGGGGAAGGGGGGACTCCATCTCCACCATGAGGACAGGGACGCTTGTGCTTGATGCCACCAAGTCCCTCGGGGCCTCTCCCTCAGTCAGTACTGGCAGAGGAGACTCCGCACCGGTTGTTTGTGGGCCAGCGCTGGAGAGGGACCTGCCAGCTGGATGGAGGAGAAACGGGCAGTGACCACGACCTCTTTCCATTTTAATGAGCCTCATGGAGAGTCACCGCAAGGAGGACAAGCCGAGAGGTGACAGAGGTGACAGCACAGCTCCTGCCACCCCGTACTCTGGCACCCAGCGCGGCAAAAGGGGCCGAGCCACCTCAGGAGGCTGCTCGGCCACGCAGGACGCGTGGGAAACGCATTATTCATCCTTTTGTATCCTGCAATAAGTGTATGTCACCCCGTCGCTTCGCACGCTTCCGCCGACAACAAAACGCGCACGCATTGTTAACGGCTTATTAAAATTCATTGGGAGCTGCCACTGCAGGCTGCTAAAATAGAGGCTGCTCTTGATGCTAAGCCAAAATGATTTGAGTTTTTCATCTCGGTGATCCTGTAAACAAACTGTCAGACATTCAGATGCAGGCATGGAGAAATATCCATGGACTGTAGCAGTGACAGGGTTTGGCATATATTAATTTACTAATCTGATTGTTGTGAATAAATTAAATGACAGTGTTAGAAGTGTATTCCCCGGGCCCGTGTTCTGCTGGATTAAGATGTGATGATTTTGCATCTTGGGCCATCGAGCAAATAGGGATATGTCTCAGTGGTCAACTGAACCAAACCCAGATATACACAGCCCTTTATTTTCAAATCTGTAGGTCTCAAAGTTTGGGGGAATACGCCGGTGTCCGCTCTCTGTTGCGGCAGGAAAAGCGTTAGGGAAACAGCCATGCAAATAGAGTATGAAAAAAAGCAGTGGCTTTGTAGCTCCCTCCCTGAGATGTAGGACCACTTTCTGCTGGAAAACGCCTATCCTAAATTTGAAGGCAGAGGCACCATGCTGTGCAGCAGTTTTGATCTGCCGAGCACGGGCTGACAAGGGGCAGCGGTTCTGCACGGCGCCGCGCAGCGCTGCGACGGAAGCACGTCGCCCGCCGAGAGCCAGGCGCGACTGCCAGGCTCCGCGTGATGGAGGGTTTATCCCATCCCCTGGCAACCTGTTACAGTGATTCATTACCTTCCATTAAAAATGTGCATCTGATTTCCAGCTTGAATTTTTCAAACCTGAGCTTCTGGCTGTTGGATATCATTATGTGCTGGTTTTAACAGATCAAAAAGGTCTCCAACGCGTACCTCCTCCCTTTGGGAATGGCACGGTGGGATTGCATTGCCTCTGCGTTGTCTGATGGCGTGTGTATTGAGCCTTCTGGTTTCCTCTGGATTTTCCAGCAGTTCTCTTCTGGGAGGCCCATTTGGAAGATCTCTACTGCCAAATACCACCAAAGGGGGTGGTAAGATCAGAGAAACAGCCGTGCCGTTCAACCCACGGTCCATGCAGTTCAGCTCTGGGCTTACGAGGCTGCTGTCACAATGGATATGATTTATTCCCTGGGTCTTCTCCCAGCGCCCGCGTGTTTCCTCACCGGTTTGTCTGTTGGCAAAGTCTCCAGAAGACTCTCTTCCGAGATGTCACCCCGTCTCCCCAACTTAAAAGGCCTTCAGCAAGGATTTCCCCAGGTTTAAATTGCACAGAGGCTCCCCGTGCAGGCAGGGCCCCGGTGTGCTCCTGCGCCCAGCCGTCGCCTCTCCTAACGCAGGGGGCTCCACGCGTCACGCTGCGAGCTGGGCGCGCTGCTCCAGCCGGTTCCTGCGGAGCCGCGGACGAACGACACGCCGAGACGGGTTCCGTGTGGGTGATAGAGCATCCATCTACGTGTCTGTTTATTGGTCCAGGGTACATATATTTATACAGACAATGATAATTATTATGCCTACTAGTCACTAGATGATTGGCTTAAGCTCTAAGGGTCGTATTCGCACGGTCCACCTACTTGCAGTTAGCTTACAGCACAAGCTTCTCATAACACTAAGTTTCTCATGCTACTATTTCTGATTCCTGTTGACTTGTTTTCGATACACAACAGTACCGTAACACAATGTTTCTCAGACCACCGTTATCATAACACTAGGTTTCTCAGACCACTATTCCTAATTCCCCTTAACCTGTTTTCGACACACCACGGTACACAGGGCTGAAGCGTCCTTGACATTCCTCCTGTATCAGCAGCTGCGAGCAGCTGCAGGCAAACCCTAGTGGGGCCCAGCATCAGCAGCTAGAGCAGGCTCTGATCATACAACTGCTCGGTGGGCTCAGGACCCTTGTCTCTGAGCCATTCTCCAACAGGTTCCTTCAAAGACTCCTCCTGCCAGTGATGCATTGGCGGCTTGAACCCAGGCCCTGGTTCCCCGTCCCACCTGGCTGGTGGTGGGGAGGCGGGCAGAGTTTTTTTTTGGGGGGGGGGGGGGCGGTGAACACGGGTGAGCCTCTGCCCGTCCTCTCTGCAGTGGCATGTGGGGCAGGTGGAGGGGACGGGGACAGGCACGGGGACCTGCCGCCGCGCAGAGGAGCCGCTCGGGGGCTGTGGTGTGTCAGGGCGCTGGGCACCCCGCGGGCTCCTGCAACCCCAGGAACGGCGACACAGCCCAACGTCCCCAGGTTGCTCCTGCCCGCTGTTTGAAAACAGGCTTGAGCAGCCCCAAACCTCATCTAAAACATTAAAATTGCCCGGGCAGAGCTTTTCCAGAGCCGGCCCTGCTTCCCTCTGCACGAGCGCTGGTGCTGCTTTCGCAGGGGCGAGCCCTGGCTCCGCACCAGTTCCGCAAGGACATGGCCCCACTCAGTGCCGAGTTGGAGATGAAATCAATTATCTGTTTCCTCCGGCGCCACGAGGGTTGGGGAGCTCCTGCCAGCTGGTCCTGCGCAGGGTTTCTGCTCTGCCCGCTGGCCTCCGGCCACGGGGACGCCAGGGGACTCCCCAGCGGGCTGGGGAGAAGGCGAGTGATCCCAGAGCTGGGATGGGAACCCGGCTGTGCCAGCACCCGGCTCCCTGCTGCCTTCCTGGGAACTGGGGTCAGCTCTGGCAGGGAAAGAGCCTCGGCCATAAGGGCTCTGCAAGGAAGAGAGGGACCAGCTCGGCCCCGGGGACATCGGGACGGCTGCAGGGCTCGGAGCAGGGAGCGGCCTCCCCGCTGCCGCGTCTCCAGCTGCGGCCAGTGGTCTGGGCTGGGGGCAAAGGCCGTAAGCGAGAAGCCAGCTCTGATCTGATCCTTTCCCGGCTGTGCCCCGGCAGGAGGGACATGCGGAGCTGGCAGCGGCTTGTGGATCGTGCTCAGCAGCCATCGAGGAGCCCATCTTTCTAATCCCTTCTTGGATTGGAGTCCCTTCAGGTGTTTGTCCCCTAAAGTCATTTAAAGCGTCAGTGGTTCAGCCTGGTTCAGAGTCCAGAGGGGTTCAGGAGGACAGAGACAAGCGCTCCCACAGGGACAGTGCTGCTGCACAAGCATCGAACCGCATAAATACAGAATAAACACAATGCAGAGTAAGGCACAGCAACGCCTCTCTCGGTGTGTTTTAGCTGAACACGTTCAGCTGAACACCCAGGGAGCAGAGGCTTGGGGCGGCTCCTGATCAGTGTCTCTCATCAGCTGCACCACCGATCGCCATAATTTCACTAGAAAGAAATGAGGAATAAGTGCAAACCGAGATTTCTCAGTTCTTTAACTCGATACCTTTCCCTTGTTGATTTAAACCATGATTTAAATCACTAATTTAGATTCGTTTTATTTCATCTGTCCCCGATCCAACCAGACCTCTTGGTCTCAAATGGTGTTTTGTTTTCTGTTTCCAGTTGTGCATCTTCCTCTGGCCTATCAGCACTGTGAAGTGAGCCCTGGTTCCTGAGACCTGCTGAAAGGATTTCAGTCACAGCCATCCTGAAAAGTAACCTCAGAATTGCAGCTGCATTTTTCTTTTCACTTGGGCTTTTGTTTCTGTCCGTGAGTTTTTTATAGCGTGACATTTTCCTACGTGACTAAAGAACCTTAAAAGCAAAAAGGGGAGGAGATGGCACAGGCAGAGGCGCACTGTTGATTGAACCACGATGACAAAGCTCAGCTCAAGCTCCAGCTTCAATTGTGGGTGTTCCCAGAGCATCCTAAAATTGCCTTCACCTTTTCTCCTTTGATGGCACCGGGTCAGCTCACGTCTCCCAAGCCAGCAAGCTCCGTGGAAACCTCAGAGAGGAGCTGGAGTCTGACCCCACCTCAGCTGCTGACACACATCTTTGGTACGTTCCCTTCTCCTGCTTCTTCTCCCATGTTTCATCCCTGCAGAGTGGAGATCTCCGCGCTGTCGATGCCGGGCCCGGCCAGCCCTTCCCCCAGCAGCTCTCCAGCCACAGACCGGGACGTGCCCGTCGCTCAGCCGGGACGGGGAGGGCACGCCGTGCCCAGGAATGCCACCACAGCTCTGACACGCTCCCGGCAATCTCCTCTGCACAAATGGCTTTCCAGCCTCTCTCCTGCCCATTTTGTGGAGCAGAGCCAGGAGCGTTTGGAGCCACGTGGCCACCTCGACCTCGCACACGCTGGCTCCTGCTTGGCTCCGGGGCCGCAGAGATGTGTAAACGGGCTCATCAGCCAGAGCTGCCGCTCACTGGCATTGCGTCGTCCTCAAAAGTGCAAGGACAATCAGCATAATGACTTCGTTTACAGTGGAAATCCAATTACTGCAGGGAAGCATCTCATTAGGGTGGATTTTCTCAGCGGCTGCCACACGTGGGGAGCTTGCCTGCCGAACCACAGGCTCACTGATGCTGGTGCCAGCACAGGGGACCAGCTCCCTGTGCCCGGGCACGCGGGGCGGTGACAAGGTGTGCAAAGCAGGACGTCGTGACCCTGGGCTCTCTGTTTCGTGTCACCCGTGCCGTCCCCACAGCCGTGTCCCACCTGGCTCCTCTCCCCTTCTCATTCCTGCCACCTCCAGCTGCAATCCCGCAGGCACTGCCTGCCTCAAGCCCCCTCTGGACGGGCTTGCAGGTGGATTTTTGTTCCCATTTTGTTCGCTACAGGGGAGACAAGAGCAGATCCCGCAGGGAGCACAGCAGCTCTGCCCAGAAACCCTTTGCACCGTGTCCCCACCACCCTGGGGACGCAGTTCTCCCCGGCTCTGTAGCAGCCCTGATGGGGGGGAGGTTGACTTGGGGCTGACAGTGCCAATCCTTTTTCCCAGCCCCCGTAAAGCTGGCTGGTGAAAGGAAGCCTGGCCTGCCCTCGCCGCAGAGAATAAGTGGTGGTTTGGTTCTCTGGTAAAACATCCTTAAATTGTTCCCCTAATTATGCACATTATCTGGTGAGAGTTTGCATACCTGTTTTGAACTTGGTGATATCGGTCCTTTTAGAGAGTTCAGTAGGGACACTACTGATCCGCCCCGTATTTCTGCTGAAGCACAACAAACGCCGTGTGAATAAGACTCGGAAACGATCAGGCCCGATGTGATCACAACGCAACGGGCAGGCAAGGCGAGCAGGAGACGCCGCGGAGGAAGAGGTGGCCGGGGGAGGCGGCGGATTCGCAGCGCGCGGCTCGGGTGCTGCGAGGGGAGGGAAGGCAGTTGTTGGGAGAGATTTTGCTGAAGAGCGGAGTTCACCTTCGTGGCAATGACGGATCGCCTCCCTGCTATCGCTGCCTTGC